CTGAACACACACAAAACACACACAAACACACACACACACACACAAACACACACACACACAACACACACACACACACACACACACACACACAACACACACAAAACACACAACACACACACACACACACACATACACAAAACACACACACACACACAAAACACACACACACACACGTGTGTTGAGTTTATGAACAAACACACGTCCAAGTGTCTCTGTGTCAGTTTATGTCCAGGCTCATGTGACGCTCAGAGTCTCCAGAGCTGCAGAGCTGCACTAGCACCGACTCAGGACGCTGCAGGTGCTGGAGTTTCTCTGTCACAGACGTCATGTGACTTGTACTTTTAAATACACACCTGTGATGTTTACGTAACCTGATGAACAAAAAGTGTTTGGTGTTTGACATGAAATAAAATAATAGTAAAACACATCGTAGTGTTTTGGATCTTGGAGTAAGATATTTGTTCACTCAGGATCTTTACAGCAGTGACCCAGAGAATCTTCAACTACACCTGCTTCTGAACATGACCTGTGACCTGTGACCTGTGCACCTCCAGGTCACACCTGTGACTTTTACTCGCCCTGATGAAAACTCAGTGGAAACACGTCGATGTTTGACATGAAATAAAATAATAATAAATCACATCAGAGTGCCTCAGGTCTTTTCTTTCATCCACACACAGGTCGTGTTTATGGGTTTAAATCTCAGTCGTACATTTGTTTCCTTTAAGTTTCTTTTGATTAAAATAATCTGTGTTTTTCTCAGTAAAGGTTCCTGACTCGGCTCAGGTTGGCGACTCGGCGTTTCCTCAGCTCAGGTCAGCGACTCGGCGTCTCCTCAGCTCAGGTCAGCGACTCGGTGTTTAGTCATGTCGTGCGATCGAGCGCTCGGTCGATCTTTATGAAACTGTGGGTGACACGTTGGAAACCTGTGCACTTACGCCGGGGCAGACGGCGTGAAGGCCCTGGGAAACCCCTGCCCTGCCAGGGAGCCCAGGCAGAGCGGGCGAGGGTGGGTGAGGGTGGGTGAGGGTGGGCGAGGGCGGGCGAGGGTGGGTGAGGGTGGGTGAGGGCGGGCGAGGGTGGGCGAGGGCGGGCGAGGGTGGGCGAGGGCGAGGGCGAGGGCGATGCATTGGGAGACTGCCGGAGTGGAGGTGAGGGTCCCTGGTCCAGAGGCGGGTGGAGGGGGGTGGGGGGGGTCCCGGGACGAGGACAAAGACGGGATTGTAGTGCCCCCCGCCCGCCGCCTCAGGTTACAGCCCCAGAGCAGAACCCCGGCCACCCCCCTCGCCCGCCGCTGCCCGCGCCGGAGCTCATCAGACCCATCATCATCATCATCATCACAGTCTGTGGTTATTGGCTCTGGTTCCTCCTGACTGCTCCTGTCCCGTATGACTGCCCGCTCCGGCCGCCGCCGCCGCCCCCGCCGCGCCGCCGCCCCCCCAGCACCGACCTCCCCGCCAACCCACTGTCACCCCCCCCACCGCCGCCGCCGCCCCCCCACGGCCACTCAGCCATCACACCACTTATGAGAACTAATCCCGCTCTGTTCTCTCGGGGTCACAGGTTAAAGGTTCGACCAACGACCAAAATTAAAACCTCCAGAGTCTCTCGTCTTTTATTTTATTTCCCATGAAGCTCAGGAACATTTTACCCGAACCACAAACTGTACACGGAAAAAAAACTAAAAAACTGGGCCAAAATGTGAGATCCAGGACACAACTAATCTCTCTCTGTCCCGTTTATCCTCGTATCTGCATACTCCCTCTCTTCTCTCTCTCTTCCTCTGTCTGTTTCTTCCTCCCTCTCTTCTCTCTCTCTTTCCTTCTCTCCCTCTGTTTCTCTCTATCCTGATTTTTCTTCTCCAGTGGGTTTTCTCTCTCCCCCTCTTTCTCTCTGTCTCTCTTTCCTCGTCTCCGTACGTCTCTCTCACTCCCGATATCGTTGGACTCTCTCTCTCTTTTTCTCCCCCTCTTTCACATTTCTCTCTCTCAGGCTCTCCTCTCTCTCTTTTTCCTTCCCCCCTCTTCTCTCTCTCTCTCTGTCTCTCTCTCTCTCTGTGGTGTGGTGTCTGTTGATTCTTTGGCTCGGTCTCGGTCTGAGGTTTGGCTCAGGATCAGGATTGGCTCTTCTCACACTCTCTCTGTCTCTCTCCTCTCCTTCTGTCTCTGTTTCTCTCTCTCTTTTTCTCTCTTCTCTCTATCTCTCTTCTCTCTCTGTCTGTCTCTCTTCTCTTTCCCTCCCCATCGCTCTCTCTCTTTACTCTCTGGGTTTCTCTTTCTTCCCTCTCTTGATTCCTCTTCCCTCTCTCTTCTCTCTCTCTGTCTGTTTCTTCTCTTTCCCTCTCTCTCTCTCTCCCTCCCTCTTCCATCTCCCCCTCTCTTCTCTCTCTCTTCTCTCACTCCCTTGCTCTTTCTTCTTTCTCTCTCCCACGCTCTCATTTCTCTCTCTCTCTCTCTAGCTCTCTTCTCTCTCTGTTTGCTTTCTCTCTCTCTTTCGACCTCACTTTCTTCTCTTCCTCTGTCTGTCTCTCTCCTCTCTTCTCTTTCCCTCTCCGTCACTCTCTCTCTTTTCTCTTTCTTCACTCTCTCAATTCCTCTTCCTCTCTCTTCTCTCTGTCTGTTTCTTCTCTTTACCTCTCTCCCTCTCCTCTCTCTCTCCCTCCCTCTTCCATCTCCCCCTCTCTTCTCTCTCTCCTCTATCTCCCTGTCTCTTCTCTCTCTCTTCTCTCAATCTGTCTCTCTTCCCTCCCTCCCTCCCTCTCACTCTCTTTCTTCTTTCTCTCTCTCTCTCTAGCTCTCTTCTCTCTCTGTGTGTCTCTCCTTTGCTTTCTCTCTCTCTCTTTCAATCTCACTCTCTTCTTTTCCTGTCTGTCTCTTCTCTTTCCCTCTCCCTCGCTCTCTATGTTTCTCTCTCTATCTTTCTTTACTTCTCTCTGTCTTCCCCTCTTTATGTCTCTTCTCTCTCTCTATCTGTCTCTCTTCTCTTTCCCTCTCCCTTGCTCTCTCTCCCTCTTCTTTCTCACTCCCCCTCTCTTTGGTCTCTCTCTGTTTTCTCTCTCTCTAGCTTTTTTCTCTCTTTTCTCTCCCTTTCTCCTCTCTCTCTGTTTTATGTCTCTTCTCTCTGTCTGTCTCTTTTCTCTTTCCATCTGCCTCGCTCCCTCCCTTCTTTCGCTCTCCTCCTCTTTCTGTTCTCTCGCTCTCTCTAGCTCTTTTTTCTCTCTCTTCACTCCCTCTGTCTGTCTCTCTTTCTTCTCTCTCAATTCCTCTTTTCTCTCTCTTCTCTCTGTCGTTCTCTCTTCTCTTTCCCTCTCCTACACTCTCTTTATTCTTTCTCTTTTCCCCTCTCTCTTCTCTTCTCTCTCTTCACAGATCTTGGATATTTGGTTGTAAATCTCTCTCTTCTTCTTCTGTTCTGCCTCTTCCTCGTGTAAAATTCTAATCCTCCGTTTCAAAGTGGTTTTAGTTTTTAGTTCCAGTTCAGATTAAATCACTTCCTCGTTTCAGTTCAAAAATAAACGTCACTTTTCTGATTCATCCGAACAAATCAAACCCAGATGATTTTAGAAAACTCTTCCTCCGTAAATCTGAGTTCAACTCGAGCAACAAGCGCCACAAGTTCTTTAAGAACAGAAGCTCTGACGACCAACGCCACCAACGCCAACGCCAACGCCACATCTGCAAACTAACGCCACAAACGCCAACCCTTTTGACTTGCCCCAAATTTGTCCATCTAATATAATTTGTCAAATGTTCACTGATGATGCAGTCTTGTATGTTCATTCTAAAAACAAACAGCAAGCTGCACACGATCTGTCAAACGTTATGTCAGAGGAGCAAACTGGCTCCAACATTCACAACTACATCTTAATATATCAAAGTCTGTTAATATGTTTTTCTCAATAAAACCTGGCATGGATACAGACCCACATGTATTTGTGCTTGGAACAAAACTGAAAATGGTCCATGAAGTGAAGTATCTGGGAGTCGCCCTGGACCCACGACTATCGTTCAAACAACACGTCAAATAACAGTGAATAAAATCAAATATCATTTATCAAATTTTCATCACATAAGAAATAAATCTAACGACCAACTCAGCATTTATGTATTTAAATTCAATGATTTTGCCACACCTAAATTATTGCATTACTACTTGGACTCTGACAAACAAAACTACTCTTAAATGAGCTGAAACTATATATAAAAAATCACTTAAAGTATTAGACAAAAAGCCCACAAATGATCACTGTTGCAGAAAACTTGACAAATACAAATTCTTAAATTGGGACAACACAATCAAATATGCAGATTTAATTCTGGTTTACAAAGTTTTTAATCATCTTGCTCCACCTCGTCTAAAGGAGTTTGTGAAAAGAAATTCAAATCACACAACAAGAGCAGCTCTAGAGGCGACGCTCTGGGCCGTTTAGGAAAAATACCTTTGGACAAACTCTCTTTTGTTTATCGAGCAGCTCAAACATGAACACAGAGAAACTGCTCATGTACGAGAACTTTCAACACTGCAGCATTTTCTAAAACTTTAAAACACTGGTTATTCAATGGTCAAATATGTCTCCATGTTTAACACATTTATATTTTCTTTTATTTTGAAGGGTTGTTGGTTTAACTCTTCACTTAATTCTTAAACTTCTGACTTTGAGCTTCAAATGAACAGTTTGAAACTAATTGTGTGTACAGTGTGTGTGTTGTGTGTACAGTGTGTGTGTTGTGTGTACAGTGTGTGTGTGTGTGTGTGTGTACAGTGTGTGTGTTGTGTGTACAGTGTGTGTGTTGTGTGTACAGTGTGTGTGTGTGTGTGTGTCAGTGTGTGTGTGTGTGTACAGTGAGTGTGTGTGTGTGTGTACAGTGTGTGTGTTGTGTGTGTGTGTGTGTGACAGTGTGTGTGTTGTGTGTACAGTGTGTGTGTGTGTGTGTACAGTGTGTGTGTTGTGTGTACAGTGTGTGTGTTGTGTGTACAGTGTGTGTGTGTGTGTGTGTGTG